GCTGTTAGTGTACCGGTAGTCACCATAAATGGGTTTGGAAGCTGTTAGCACAACAGTTAAAAAAACAAAACAAACAACAAACAAACAAACAAAAAAAACTATTTTCATACCAATAGAGATATCTTTCATGTTTTGAGTATATCATAGAGCCCATGTTTAACATGGGCCTGTATGGAATTGTTTAAAATAGATAATTATTACTATAAAATATGACTTTTGATTTTTTTAACGAGTTCATAAATTAAGTTTTCTTTTCTTGCTGTACATGACCTGGTACTTTAGGGTCTCCTCACTAGAAAGTGTGATTTGTTTTTCTGTCATTGAGATGATTACTTACTGTTTAAAACAAGTGGAAAAAACAAGTGGAAAAAACAAACAAATTAGCATTTGTCTTTCATATCTTTTTCCTTTTGCATTGTGATTATAAAGTGATTTTTTGTTTCCTTTTAATCTAACAACCACAAATTATATATATATATATATATATATATATATAACAAACTGTGTTTTTTCTGACTTGGTTATTGTCCTTAAGTATCTTTAAAAACTTGGTTTTCTGACTAAGTCCTTTGATACTGCCACATCTGCATTTCCTTGTTCTACAAATTTGCTTTAGATAACAGAGCCAGAGTTTTAACATCTGCCATTCTGACGTTACAAACTGCACTTATCAGTGTGGGACATGCAGCACATTGTTACTGTGAGCGTTGCCCCCACCCAGGGTGAAAACTGCACCAGAATGTGTGACTGTGTGCTCAGTACAGTACTGTTGATCATTCTTTATTTATTTTAGTACAAGAAGACAGATTTTTATAATTTTGTCAGGCTACATAAGTACAATGTTGTCATTTTGCACATCAGTGCATTTTGTGTGCTTTGTCTAAAGTTGAGGCCTTTTTGTGTTCTTGTACTGCAGCACAAAAACACACAAACACACTGTACGACTGTGTTACTGTAAAACATTTGATACATTCTTGAATTCACGACAACAAGCAGATTGTTGTTTTTGATGACGCAACTCCAAACTTCTCCTTTCTTTTTCTACATTCAGAGAAAGCACCGATCAAACCAATATATAGACTTGTAGGTGATTCATATTAAAAAGTATTTGCTGTCAAAGTGTGTGTGTGTGTGTGTGGAGGACAGAGAGAGAGAGAGAGAGAGAGAGAGAGAGAGAGTTTAGGTTGACACATAAAGTCAACAATAAGAACACGTTTAATTCTAAACATCTGACTGCCCTTTTCGCCGACTTCACAGAGCTGCTGTTATTTTTAGTAAAGTATTATTTTGAAGTGTTGATATTTATTCATGGGACGGAGAAAAAGTGACAAATCAAATAAAGTGAGAAAATTTAACTCAGCTTTGTAAAATCTGATGAAACGGATGTATTTGTGTCTAAATTGGGTTTAACATTAAACACATGCTGCATAATTTAATGTTGGATTAAACCACATGTGTCAAACTCAAGGCCCGGGGGCCAAATGTGGCCCTCATTGACATCTTATCTGGCCCCCAAGATGATATGTTGAACGTAAAATACTTTTAGCACTTTAATTTTGTCAGTAATCTTTGATTATGATGTGGAAAGTGCAACAGAGAACGTCAAATGAAACCAATCAAACTCTTGTTGAGGAACGAAGAGATGTTGTGTATCTGACTTTTAATGTTGATTCTGAAACTGGCCCTTAGTTTGAAAAGGTTTTAATTTTGGTCCCCTTTTGTAAGTGAGTCTGACACCCCTGTAGATGATCTAATCTGTAGAGAAACTGAAGCCAACATCAGGGTGTGCTAGTCTGAACAACAGTGCCATCTGGGGACAACAGTTATCACTTTCTAACCGTCATGTCTTTGGGTCAGCACTGAGTGTGTCTGTCCCTCCACATGAGCTGTAGTCTTAGTTTCAGAACATGGACACAGTGAGAATCCGTCGCTTCAGTTTTTACATAATTTTCAGAAAAGAGTTCACTCACATTTCCTCCACGCTCCGGTGACCTTTGACCCGCCACCCTAAAGACACCCCAACATGCCTACAGAGAAGGGGGTGTGAATTGTAGTCAACTTTAAAATGGTTAAACGCTCCACACTGTCTGATCAGAATAACAAAGAATTAAAACGTTATTTAAAAATAATAAAATCTGATGTACTTTATTTATTTTATTTGACAATAATGAAATCTGCTTCTTCATGTTTAGGCTTGATTGGAGAATAAGTCCTTTCATATTTGTCTCCTAAACTACAGACACTGATTAAGTACTGGATTTTGTATTCAGCTAACCAGTACATAAGGTGCACTCCTCACATTAGAACACCACTCCCTTACTATTAGTGCACACATTTTTGCACAGTACACCCTGGACACATTGCCAAGCACGTCAGGACAACATACAAACACACACTTCCTACTCACAATTACCTTAACCTGCATGTTTTTGAAGTGTCAGAGGAGACCGGATGACCTGGAGAATATCTACACATGCACAAGAACAAACATTCACACAGAAAGGCCCCAGCTGAGAATCCAAACCAAGATCTTGCTGGATGACAGTACTAACCACTGCACCACTGTGCAGCCTCAAACAACAACTTGCAGCCCCAGGTAATCTCCCATACCAGCACTAACCAGGCCCGACCATGCTTGAGGTGGAATCTCACATGGCTGCGACTAGATGGCAAACCGTGCTTATAAGGGTGTCTCAAAAACGTCTAGTCAACTTTCCCAAGGGTTCTCGATCTCGTTTGAGGTGCAGTGGCTCACAGTTTTGCCATTTGAATTTTAAACATGTTCAAAACATTTATATAACAAATTTTCTCTAAAAAAACTCATTAGTGGCAGCTCAAAACTATCAGTTTTGTCTTGGGCATCTCCAAGAGCTCTAGAGCTGTTCTAACACCTGCATGTGAGCCCTTTTGTCACAGAAAACATGTTCAAATTTGTCTAAATACCAAGTTGATGATAAAGATTTATTAAAAACCTGTTCTAAATTAACCTATCTTCATTTCTAACGTGCACTCGGGTAGATTAACAGATAAACACTAACCCAACTAAGGTGAGTCAACACAGATACAAAGAGGAGTGTGGTAGTAAATGAAGAAATGTGCATGACCTGGAATTCTGTTTTACAAGCCATGATTTTCAAAAATTACCCATTCAATGTGTAGCTGCACAGATTCAGAATTCAGGGAGACTGCATCTGAAAAACTGCACATTGAGGCAAGTTTGAGTCTCCAACTGGACGAAAATAAAACACATTTAAAGATTATATTAGCAACCAAAATAGAAAAATTAAATCAAAGTCATCCCAAACATAAAACCCACATAAATACAAATTCGTAAAAATATATTGTAGTTAAAAAAAAACCCAGCTAAATATGAAAAAAACATGTTAATAAAATATGCTTTTTAATGTGAACAAAGCTGGTAGGTCCAACACTCATCAGTATGTTGTTCGTAACCTTATACTCCACGTGATGATCACTTAGTGACAAAGTAAAACTTTTCTGATGCAAACATTTCAGTTTAAACTGCACAATAATATAAACTACTAGAGAAATTGCATTTCCTGCAAAAATGCAGTGTGAATGCTTATTGCTGAAGAACTTGCTCAAAAACAGATGAAAGTAGCTAAAAGACATGTTGAATTTTAGCTGAAAAGGAAGAACAAGCCTAAATTAACAGAAGAAAGCATAAATAACATATTTGCTGAATTAGGATTGAATTAGAAATGAGCACAGAAATTATGAAATTAGCAAAATGTCTGAAATTAGCAAAAGTAGCTGAAAAGACAGAAAATTAAACTACCAGAAGAAAGTGGAAAGAGCTGAAATGAGCTAAAGTGTAATTAAGTTGAAATGAGCTAAAATTAGCATAAAACAGCTAAATAGTAGCTGAAATTGCAGAAAAGCTGAAACTAGCAGAAAAAAGTCTGAAAGGTGCATAACAAGATGAAATTAGCAGAAAGAAGTTAAATGGGCTGACAGTAGCAAAAATCACCATGAAAACCTGGAATTGTTCTTAAAACAGCTGAAATTAGCTAAAAACAAGGTAAAAACCTAGCTGAAATTATATCCATCCATCCATCCATCATCTTTACCCGCTTATTCCATTTTTGGGTCACGGGGGTCGCTGGTGCCCATGTCCAGCAATCACTGTGCGAGGGACGGGGTACACCCTGGACGGGTCGCAAGTCCATCACAGGGACACATAGAGACAAACGAGACAAACAACCATTCACTCTCTCACTCACACCTAGGGACAATTTAGAGTTACCAATCAGCCTAACATGCATGTTTTTTGTCTGTGGGAGGAAACCGGAGCACCTGGAGAAAACCCACGCATGCACGGAGAGAACATGCAAACTCCACCCAGAAAGGCCCCTGGACCGGGGTTTGAACCGGGGACCTGCTCGCTGAGAGGCAGCAGCTCTACCAGTTGCGCCACCGTGCTGCCTGCTGAAACGATTTAACAAGCTTAAATTAAGGGATGCAGAGAGAACACATGCCCAATTAGCCTGACAAAAGCAGAAATGAGCATAAAAAGTGGAATTTATCCGAAAAAAGCTGGAGGAAAAAAAACAGCTGAAAAGAAGCTAAAAACAGAAGGAAGCCTAAATTACCAGAAGTGGAGAGAGCACAGTTTTGCTGAATTGGGCTGATACAAGTTGAAATGGGTGCAAAATATGTGGAATTAGCTGGGAAAGCTAAAATTTGCATAAAACAGCTAATAGTAGCTGAAACAGCAGAAAAAAAGTTGTAACTTGTATAAATAAACAGAAAGGAGAAATACAAGCTAATTAGCAGAAAGGACTTAGAAGAAGCACAACAATGTTGAAGTTAGCATCCAGAAGAAGTATGGATCACAGTAGAGTGAATGCTTCATAAACATCCACACAATAATTAAAGAATAAATCGTGACACTGAAGAGAACACAGCAATGTTTTCTCCACATTCATTATCAACACAAAGATGATTGCATACTCTAGTTTATTAGCCAAACTTTGTGTTATTTTAATCAATCTCAGCTCTTTTCTGGACATTATTGATATAATTTATCTGTCAGTTTTTCCTCCACTCGATCAGCGGTCAGGTTGAGCTGACAGTCCCTCAGGGCTCTGATCAGCTCCTCTGTTCTGGCCTCAGCTCCTTTACTCCTCCTCCACTCCTTCAGCAGCTCCACTGCCGTCTCCTCCAGGTCTGTAGAATGTCTTGTGGAGATGGAGTCCAGCCTCACGTCACTCACTTGTAGTTTTCGTCCCAGTTTACGCCAGTTTTTGCCCAGACTCTCTGCGATCACTTCTGTAGCGATGCTCAGTTTAGCTGAGAACAAAAACAATAAAATCATGCAGATATGTATTTATTCCTCCATCATTATCAACTAGCATTCTCTTCCCGTTTATTCCTCAAAATACATTTTCATAATTTTCTTTTATGTGGAAGAGGGTGGTCTTAGAGCTTATAACTTGTATGGGAACCATCCCCTGGTGTTGCTGCATCCATTCCAGCTTCAACTTCCTGGTAGATTTACTAGCGTTCAGTATTTCCTTATTTGAATTACGGGCAGAACACAGTTTGATTTGATCGTTTGGTGAGCTGAAGTTTATCTACGACTTGCAAAACTGCTTTTGAAGCATGCACATTATTTTGTTGCCCACTTCTGTCCACAATGGACTCACCTTAGGCCAGGGGTGTCAAACCCACTTACAAAATGAGGCCACAATTAAAACCTCTTTCAAACCAAGGGCCGGTTTCAGAATCTACATCAACTCAAGTTAGATACCAACATCTTTTCTTGGTTGCAGGTTCCTCAACAAGAGTTTGATTGGTCTCATTTGATTTTCTCTGTTGTACTTTTGACGTCATAATCAAAGATTACTGAAACAATTCAAGTGATAAAAGTATTTTCATGTTTAACATATCATCTTGGGTCTTGGGGGCCAGATAAGATGTCAATGAGGGCCACATTTGGCCCCCGGGCCTTGAGTTTGACACGTGTAAACACCAGCCGATCTGTGTTTTGAACCTGTATGCTCCACACTGGTTTGTCGTCATTTTCTACATCGTTTTTATGTTTATATTCTGATTTACTTCATTTTGTATTTTGCTTTGTGTGTTACCTGTTGTTCTGTCTGTACAGCACTTTGGTTGGCCTTGTTGCTGTTTTAAGTGCTCTATAAATAAAGTGGTATGGTATGTGCCTTAGGCTGATTTGTACCCACCCCCATGTTCATGATTTAATCTGTCAATGTAACAAAAACATAATAATAATAATAATAATAATAATAATAATAATAATAATAATAATAATAATAACAATAATAATAATAATCCTTTGACCAAGCTTTTAGTTTAGGCCCACACTGAAATAAAACGTAACACCCCATGTCTTGTTGATATCAAAAAGTTAAATCAGTCTATCTTTCTGAGAAGAAGGCCCACAGGGTCAGTCACATCAGTGTTTCTGTGATTCACAGGCGCTGCAGCAACTGTTCAGTCTTTAGCGTTCATTTAGAAGTCAAAACAAGACAAAACTTGGAATACCGTCAGCCTCTTAACTGTGTTCCAGGTAAAAGTTGAAAGACCAGTAGGATTTGTACACACAGACTTTTACTGCTGTTACACAACTTTTAGCAGCCATATAAGATATTGAGGGTCAGGTCTGACAGGAATCTTTGATTTTTCAAGTGGCTGTTCTGACTTGAGTAGCATTCCAGTTGGATGAGCGAATTTCTCATAAATACATGTAATTTTGTGTAATAATATTGATGTGATGAGTTCAGAGGTTATGTGTGTGCGTGCACCTTGTGACATAAGAATCAACAAACTTTCTCAAATTTACAGCAAATTTAGTCATTTTTCAGATAAAGGGGAAGCCTTGAATCAGTGTGGTTGACTGCACTTCTTCCAGAGTCAACACAGCCTTCACATTTGCCACTGTTTGACAAATACCAAATACTAACATCTGACAATATTTTTACTACCTAGTTGATATACTACTACTACTACTACTGACACACTATATATACTATTACTACCTAACCTATCTAAATAACAAGAACATAAAAATATTAAAAAATGCTTTAAAATAACCCATTATAAAATGCAAAGCTTAGCTCATCATTACATGCTAGCTGGGTTTACTTCTGTATTTTTATTATTCTGACTGACACTGCGACTATGACCTTAACAATGACCAACAAATCTGCTGTCCGATTATACAAAATGGCGTATTCTTTAACAATTCTTCTGAATAGAATAATTTTTTTCATATAAATTGTGTTTTGAGACTTAGCCTACTACATGACTCTAGAAAGCACCTCTTCAGTCATCATGACACTTCTGTTAAAATTAAGTTTTTGATCTTTGTTCTACATAACTTTATCTATGTGGATATTGTTATAGTTCCGCTCCAAAGTAAAGACCCCCCCTTCCCCCCCAAAAAAGGGGCCCCCTCCCGGAAGCCGCTTGTTATCTAGGACCGGGCCTGGGTGAAGTTTTACAAACCTCTCTCCGTCTCGTCCAGACCATCGTCGGGGGGTCCAGGCGGACTCCCAGAGCCTGTCAGTCTGTCCGACAGGTCTGGTCGGCCGATCTGTTGGAGCAGGTCGGACAGAAACTCGGTCTTGTCCGGTTCCAGGAAGCGTCTCTGCGTCAGGATCTCGAACAGTCCGTGTCCCGTCGTGATCTTCTCCAGCTTTTGTTTTCCGATCTCGTTCCGAACCAGGAACTTGAGTTTGTCCAGATTGTCAGAGCTCAGCTGGTTTGAGATGTCCAGCAGGACCGCGTTAAGCTGTCGCGCGTCCATGTTCCGACCCAGAAGCGACGCTTTTACTTTCACTTCCGCCTGGAGGAGTTTTGTTCTGGGTGTTCCTCATGTCTCTGTCGAGACACAGCTCTACTACATTAAAGTTTAGAGCTCCCAAAACAAACAAACTTAACCATCGGAGTCCTGGCTCGTTTATTTCTGGCATGTATCATTTGATATAATCCAAACGTTGGTTTATATTTTGCATAATCCCATTATTACTGTCAAACACTGCCTTTAAATCTAGGGGGTTGCAAAAAATATATGAACAGATTGTCTTACAAGACGAGATTTAAACTGAGTTTTAATTTGATTAATCGCAGCAATTTTATAAATAAAACAAATCTTGAGATTGAAGAAGTTAAATAAGGACAGGATCTTTAACAGATATTGTTTAGTGTCAGACACCAACAAGTACCCCTCAAGAATTTATCTACATTTTGCTTCCTCCATCTTTGCTTTAGCTGTTTCGCACAGCATGATGCTGCGAAGGGATCAGCCTGATGAGTGCTGGGTGATTTGCTGCAGACATCATAGTGTCCTCGATGGCCTAAAAGTTCAAGTCTGGCCTCATCTGAGCACAACAACTTCTTCCCTGTGTTTGGGAACTAATTTCTAAACAATCCAGTTTTTATTTTAATTTTCAGACTACTTGCCACTCTTTATGAAGCCAGCTCTGTGCAGTTTATTGATCCTGTGGACAGATCTCTTCTCATTTATCATGGTTATCTTTGGCCTTCTGGATGTTTCTCTGATCCAGTGGTTCCCAACCCTGGTCCTTGAGGAACACCACCCTACATGTTTTAGTTATTTCCCTGCCCCAACACACCTGATTCAGAGATTTAATTACTTCCTTGTGTTCTGCAGAAGCCTGTCAATCACCCATTAATTAAAATCAGGTGGGTCAGAGAAGAGAAACAACTAAAACATGAAGGATGGTGTTCCTCAAGGACCAGGGTTGGGAACCCCGCTGAACCTTAGGAGACATCCCCCTCAACAGGTTTGCTGTGGGGACACATTCCATCCAATTTTTAATAATAAATGTATTGGAGAGTTCCTTGAGCTTCATGCTGCCTCTTGTCTGGTGAGTAGAAGCTGATTGGAGCTAACAGAACCAGTGTTTATTGTTCGTCAGGTTTGATAGTCTAGATCGCTCACAGGTGGATCTTTTTTTTAACTAATTGTGTGTCTTCTGAAAAATTGGGACTTCAAGCAATGTGGCTAAATACATAGACATTGGAGTTTTATACATTAAAAAAAATTTTTCTAAAACATTTGTCTTATCTAACTGTTAATCAGGATCACTTTAGATTTAATGTTTAAATTCAAATTGCAAAGCCAATTAAATTCCAAATAGTAAGGCAAAGAAAGCCAAGGGAGGGGAATACTTCTGAAAGGCTGCACTGTAAATGAGGGTTTGGTGACAAAAAAAAGTCAGACCCTTCAGACGTTAAATGTCCCATAGGTCTGTTGAAAAAGTCCTTGTGGAATTAAAAAGGTTCCTAATTGAACTAAATGACCCGATGGGATCTTAATGGTGGATGGGTTAAATGCAGAGACTAATTTCGCCATTGTATGGAAACATACAGTGCTGACATTGTGATGACATTATTATTATTATTATTATTATTAATGACATCTGGAAAAACTTAATTTTCCCTAAATGTTTAAGAAATTTAAATATTTTACAATCTACTTCACAAATTGGGGCATTTGTTAAGAAAAAAAAAATAAAATCTGTGCTTTTATTCTAAGAGGTCATATTATTGAAAGCAATACTCACAGTTCAGCCAAAGACGATCAGACTTATTTTCTGATTGTATTTGTTATCTTACCTGCAGATTAATGGTGAAAAAAAATTGTATTAAAAACTCATATTTGACAACTTTTTAATTGGGCAAATTTCCAGAAATTATCTTAATGATCAAAGCATTTTTTTCCTTCTTGCTCTCGGTGAAGGCGGACACATTCTCCCCCTGCTCCTGCTCTTTGTCCTGTAAATCTTTCTGTATGTTGCTTTTTTTTTGTGCTGAAGTTTTTTGCAAACTCACACTGTGTCCCATTAGCCCAGGGGTCTGCAACCTGTGGCTCTGGAGCCACATGTGGCTCTTTGGTCCCTCTGTAGCGGCCCTTTCAAGCTTTGACTAAAACTGGCACAAAACTGATTTTTATTGGTTCTACAAACAACAAAAATGATTAGTTCAAACAGTTTTGCTGTAATTTCTTTTGCAAATATGTGAACACTGGCGTGAGTACAAGGAGTGAAACATACTTGATGCTTTATTTTTTTATATGAAGAACTGTCTGCATAGTTTATAGATTTATTAATTAAAAAAAAATAGTAAAAACTGAAAATCAACCCCCCCCCTTAAAATAATCTGATCATTTTCTTTAATAAATGTTAAAGATCATTAGATATCTTTTGCTTGTATAATGGCACCCTTACTGGCCACAAAAGCCCCCTCCAGCAAACCTAAAGTGGCCCATGGGCCACCAGTTGATAACCACAGTTGTAGCAGGTTGTTGCAGCTCCGGACATGTTTAATGTAGTGAACGAAAGTGAAAAATGGCTCTTTTGATCATAAAGGTGGCAGACCCCATGCATTAGCCAGTTACCCCTGAGATGCATTATTTATTTATTTATTTATTTTTTACCTCTTTCCCTTGTGTTGCCTTTTTCTCATCTTAAAAAAAAAAAAAAAAAAGGCAGCGCCTCATGAGGCTACAGCCTCAGACACCCCCGTCTCCCCATGTATGTTGTTTGGTTGTTAGTGTTTCTTGGACAGGCTGTACTAAAATGTAATTTTGTTATGCTTCATTGCAATGACAATAAAGGCTGGTTCTGATTCTGATATAAAACAAAAAAGGTAAAATAAAATAAAACAATCCGTCCAATTCATGGCAATTCACTAATGATTTATTCGCATATAATAAACAACAAATTAGACAATATCAGGTTCTACATGCAGATACACTCATTCTTGTTATGAAATGTGCTTTGACATCAGAACAGATGCATGTCCCAATTGTTTGGTTGATACACGGAGAAATAAACCTCAACGTTTTTAAAATGTGACAGCAGAGTGTAAGAAAGTCTTGGAATAAATGGGTTTATTCTCAAACAAACCCTGTTCTTGTACTTAATCCACCTCATCCCTACACTAACAATATAAACAAACAATACAGGGAACTATTTGGTACAAATCATATTACAGAAAGCAAAAACAATCTGTTAAAAAATATTTGCAAAATGCATCAATTTACATTTCTCCAGACAGTTCTACTGGTTTTTAATGAAACCCCTCAGTAATTAAAAACAGACATTGATTGCGTTTGTACCTTAAGTTGTTATACACAAATAAGCATTAAAATATGAAACGATACATTCTATCAGTTTCAGGCAAGCTTTTAACTTGGAGTCAATAGATCCTCCACTACTTCAGTTTCCTCCCAGAGTCCAAAAACATGCATGTTGGGCTGACTGGTAACTCTGTGTCCCTGTGATGGACTGGAGACCTGTCCAGGGTGTCCCCCGCCTCACCCAGTGACTGCTGGATATGAGCACCAGTGACCACATGACCCGAAAATATAAACAAAGGATGAATCCTCCAGCAGTCGTTGATGCGACACTGCAGTTTCAGTTCTATTCTTCAGATGTTTTTATTTTAGTTATTTTTTTTGGGCTGTTTTATGAATAGAACACTGTTGATGTTCGGTCTTGTGAACAGGGGGAAAGGCAGAGCAATTTACAAGAGATAAGTGAAAGTTGAAAAAGTGCTGATTTAAAGGTTTTTCTGATACTTTGTAGCTCTTTGTGTCAAAAGGATCTTAACCAAGCTGACATCATTTTAAAAGATGACCCGCTGGAGTTCGTATCCCTGGAGCAGCTGGGAGAACACAGCAGAGAGAGTCTGGTCCTGAAACTGAGACGTCATGGAGCAAAACACTAACGTTGAATTTACGTATGCCAACAGTCTTAGACGGAGGTCTGTGACAAAGGCATGAACAAATATCTTACCTGTCGTAGAAAGCTCTTTGAATGACCTCGGCTTTCTTTCAGTGTAGCACAAAACTTATATCAATATAAAGGTCTGTGAATATTTGCATGAACGGCTAAGACAATGTGAAGATGTACGCTTTTATAAAGTGGCTGCAGTCCACTTAGGCCTCAGCTGCATTCAGGCTAGTAATTAGCTCGTAAGACCTAAACTGTCCGTCTCCAAACTGAGGCTGCTCAAAGAGCTACAACAGGTAAGATATTGACTGCTCACAACTTTTACCCTCACAAGCCCCATTTCAAAATGGCCACCATATTTCTTTCAAAACAGACATTATAGTTTCACAATGTAGACAAACAAATGTAAAAAAAAAAAAACATGAATAAAAGTGTTGCTAAGGTGAATTGTGAATAAAATAAAAGTAAAATGTTATCCAGAGGTGGAAACGTAGACGTGGTGTGCATGATTGTAGTGATGACAGAAAAACTATTTAAAACATCAAGATGAAAACAGGTTGTCCTCCCAAACTGAGTAGTCTAGTGTAATTGTTTACCTACATTTGTTTTTGTGAAATATATATTTTTATTTCTAACAGAGCACTTTATTTTCAATAAACAAAACCACAAACACTCTGGCACTGAAAGCACAAGCTGTTTTTTAACATTTCTAATGCTAATCTTTGTACCATTTCAATAATTGTTTTGCTAATGCAGTGGTTCTCAAACTGGGGTCCCTGGACCCCCGGGGGTCCACAAGCCTTGGGACTCCCTCCCCCCCCAAAAAATTAAAATAAATAAAATTTACAAGCATGTAGAATGTTTAACAACCTGTTAAAATGCACCAAAATGCAGGAAATCACATCTACTTTATACAAACTTTTCTGGGGGAGGACCCCTAGACCCCCACCCCTGCCGGTCCACCCGCTATTTGTGTTCCTGCATCGACTGGTTTACAAATTAAGCTGTTCCTTGGTATGACTGCTGCTGTTACGATTCTGTTCAGTAAAGAGTTTTCTGTAATAACTTGAAAAAGTGGCGATACATTTATTATGTTCTTTATGTGACTAAATAAAGTTTTAAAGTGTTTTTTGATGCGGTTAATTTTATCAAAACTGCAATTTTTGGAAGTTGAAATCAAAAATGTTAACTAGTTGTGTCTTGAATAAAAAATATCCCATGTTTAAAAGTATAAAAATTGTATTAACCCTATTAAAGAGCAGGTCTTAAGTATTTATACTACACAAATATTTCCATTGCATTAAAGAGATAAATTGAAGAAAATTATTTAATAAATATGAGGAGTCCCTGAAACTTTTTCTCCCCTGTAAGGGGTCCCTGAACCCAAAAAGTTTGAGAACCCCTGTAATGACGACTTAGATGAAGAAATTAATAATAATGTGTTGTGTTGTCATCATTGGCTCTCTGCTTTGAACCCCATCCACCACCAGGTGGAGCAGTGGGCAGCTATGGAAGGCACCTGGGGAGCAAATGAGGATGAGGTGTCCTGCTCAGTGATACCGCGAGGTGCCCCCCCGGATCTGCTGCCCTGCCCCTACACCATCTCGCCCCCTTTGTGTGTAACCAACAGAACAAACTGAGCTCCTCTTCACTCATGCTTATAGTTTTTCTTCCTCAAGCTAAGCACCTTGGATGATGCAGTGCACGTCTGATCTTTAGGGAAATGCATGACAACCAACAAGATTCATGCTTTTAATTTACCAGACGATTGCAGCTATTCCTAAAGTTCTCAAATAGTGAAAAAACAAACAAACAAAAAAAAACATGATATGTTTGTTGTTTGACTTAAAAACAGGACTGAAGCACTTCAAGTAAGATTTCAATGGGGTTCCAAAATATTTAAATGATTGTCTTATAATCAAAATATATTTTCATAACTTTATAAACTTTCCTGATCACCTGCACTCCAGTAGAAAATATAAATGATATTCTAACTATGTTTGATTTTACGACTTGATCACTTTAAACGTTTAATCAAGATATTGGCCACAACAACAACAACAACAACAAGGCAACATGGAACAACAATTTCTGCGTTAATTTTCAGTCTTGTCAATCGCAGCTTTGAGGATTCCAGTTCATCAGAATCAAAACTGTAACTTGTGCTTCTGGGAAGGATAATTCTGAGCTTTGTGAAGCCTGTTCATACCCACAATGTAACCATCGTGATCATTTAGTGTTCAAAGAATAAACTGACAGGTTGCGTAACACCAACAGTTTTCCAAACTCCCTTCTTTACCCTAACAGCTGAAGCTCATACATACATCAATTTCTGTACATACATGTGCAAATAATACTACGGTACTAATAATAATTAAAATCTTTACACGTTGGTATCAGCAGATCTCCGTTTGAGTTATATAACCCAGCCTGAAGACAAGAGGAGAAAGCTTTTTTCAGGAGGATCATTTGGACGGAATCACGGAGACTTCTTCGTTGTTAAAGGTGCGTGTAAATCCTGTGGGAGGTGTCAGCGGTGAACATCCCACTTTAAAAGTATGAGTCACATTAAGGTGGAGTTTGGCACCGCTTCTTCAAGGGGATTTAAATCGGATCCCTCAGTGAAGCTAATGGCTTCTTCCTCTGAAATACATCCAATAAATAAATAGGAACATCTGTGGCAGAATACCATCAGTGTAGCCGTTTAGGTTTTTTTTTTTTAATTGAACAAGTGGCGGAGGACGAAGAATGCGTCACATCTAAAAACTGCACAAGTAGTGACCGATCCACTTCTGTGGGGAGGGAATTCTGGTATGGCAGGTCAAAAATATTAAAAATAAAAATCCTCTAAACTAAATACAACAACATATTTGCCGATTGAAATCCATGATGCTTCACCAGCTGGCCTTATCGGGATTTACCGGGCGTGAACGAGGCTGCGGTGGGCTCTGATCGGTCGACGAGGGGCTGGTGCAGTTGTCCTGGTTGTGGTTGTCCCGCGCCACCTGCCTTTTACCCTGCTCTTCCTTCATGAACACCTCCACCATGAGGATCTTCTCCTTGTGGATCTGGAGGCTGATGTCCTTGGGGATGTCTGGGATTAGCCAGTCCACAAAGTCACTCATAAGCATCACCACATTCTGTAAGACACAGAGTGAATAAAGACCTCTGATTGGTGGGAAGAAGGTTTCTGAGCCACAGTATGTATGTATCCTTGATTTAACCAGGAAAATAACTCAATGAGATTAAAAACCTCTTTTCCATGAGTGACCTGGCCAAGACAGCAGCATAAAACATACAACAAATCCAAAATACTAAACCATGCAGACTGTTTGAATTATTTTATTTCAATATTATAAATGGAGGTCAGTAAGGTCCTAAAGTTAAACTGATCATGTCATGACCGTTAGTTAACTATTGTGGTGGGGGTGAGGTGGGAGGGTGGGGGGATAGTAAAATGAATCCAGTAAGCTCTGGCTTTAACAGTATCCAAACTGAATGAATGATTATGTCAACAAATTTTGTAATAAAAATAAATAAATAAAAAATAATAATTAATAAACCTATCTATCTATCTATCTATCTATCTATCTATCTATCTATCTATCTATCTATCTATCTATCTATCTATCTATCTATCTATCTATCTATCTATCTATCTATCTATCTATCTATCTATGCGCACACACAAATCACACTTAAGCTCGTTTCTTCGGCCTATTGTGCATGTTGTCCTTTTAAAATGTGTTATTAAGTATTCATTATTAATTGAGTAATCAATAATTAATATTAATTATTAATTAATTAACAATTGTCGATAATGTGTTATTAAGTGTTTTTTTATTACCCTTCACTTACAAGCAAATAATAAAATAATGATTTTGATCCTAAAATTCTAAATAAAATTAACAAAAGTTCAAAAAAGTCTTTAAAAAAAAAAAAGTGAATGTGAAAAACGTGTTGGGTTGTGCAGAGTATTTCACTGGAGCTGCAGCAGATGATGACAGTGAACGGGAATCACAAGAGAGTTTCTAAATCAAAACAGTCGCAAGGATTCTCCAGCCTCTCGTAGTAGATGAAGGATGTTGCTCTCGTGTCACAGGAGTTTTGAACGTGATAGAAAATGTGCATGACACGGTCAGAGCTAAGTGTCTGGAACCTGCCTTGAACTCTTCTTAATTTACTGTAGTTACCACGAGTCAAAGAGTCAGAAATGTGAGAACGTTGAGAAGGTTTGGCAACCTAAAAATACATATTGGGATTGATTATATTCTATTGATCTTTCAGGTCGGAGGCAATGTGTTTGACTTAACAGTACTTCATCTAGCTACCTTAACGGTCACCAATGGTGTGCCACAAGGCTCAGTTTTAGGTCCCACTGTTTTTACAATTTATATAAATAATGTAGGTTAAAACATTCCTGATGCATCCTTGTATCTATATGCTGTTGTTTGTTGCCGAGCTAACACAGTTGCCAAGATTTTCCATCTTCTACAGTCTGCATTTGACATCATTCAGTCAGACTTATTCCATCTCAAGCTGGTGCTAAATGCTGACAAAACCAAAGGGATGTTGTTTTCAAACAGAAAGTCGGTGCCAGCAACTCTTCCTCCTATCTCATCCATGCATGGTGTTCCTATTGAGTTTTTAGAGTCATAAATATTTGGGAAATTTGGTTGATGCACATCTCTCTTTTAAACCACATATCAAAAACGATAAAGAAATTGAACGTAAAACTGGGTTTCTTTTTCAGAAATAGATCTTGCTCAACTCTGAATGCCAGAAAACACCTTGTAACCACTACCTTCCTACTGGTCATTGACCATGGTGACATTATTTACATGAATGCCCCTGCCAGCTGCTTGCAGATGTTGTTGGATGCTGTCTACCATGGTGCGCTAATATTCATTACTGGTTGTACCTATTGTACCCATCACTGCACCCTGTGCTCCTTGGTCAGTTGGTCATCATTATCTACATGTAGGCTCTCACACAGGTTCATTTTCATCTATAAATCCCTCCTTGGTCTGCTACCTTCTTATATCTCCTCCCATATGTCATGTCGTCAATGCAGTTACAACATGCGCTCTCAGGACATCATTACCTGCAGCGTTCCCTCAGTGTGGACTGAACTAGGAAAAGAGGCCTTTTCCTACTCAGCTCCAGCAACCTGGAACATCTTGCAACAAGAACTGGAGTTGTCCACCTTCATTTCTTTATAGGGTTTCAAACATTTGATAATTTCAACAGAAACATCAAAGCAGTTATGTTCTTGTTTTTAGTATTTCACCTGTTTTACGGCACCTTGATTTTTTGTTTTATACACTATTCTTATTTTAACTACATTTTAACTGTAGTTTATTGTTGTCATTGTTTACTGTTATTGTTGTCTGTACTTTATATGTTCTGTCCGGAACAGGTCTCTCTTTTACGAGAGTCCCGAGTCCTCGTGGCTCAATGAGACTAGCCTGTATAAATAAATGTTGAATGAATGAATGAATGTAGACGACAAAAAAAAAAAAAAACTGATTACATTGATGCTTAATTGAAAAAATTTGTGGCTAGATTGCGACAAAAAAAATTGCGACTCACAGGTACCAAATTAGTGATTTCTAATAAAAAATATATGGTCTTACTTGATCTGTTTTGCACCAAGCCAGTTACAATAGTTCTGTTGGTTACAAAATGCTTTTCATCTAGAACCGCTGTCCCAGACTTTGAAGACAAATTAATAAGGAGCAGAAAATAAAAACCACAAAGTGAGAAAGGCTGTGTGTTTGTAGGTAGAAGCATCAATAGATCACCTTTATCTTCACATACTGTCACAAGTAGTCATTTGCTGTGCTTAAATATTCTGTACCCGAACCTTAATGTAGTGGTTGGTAATGATCTGATCTTAGAGGTGTTACATACAGACAAATCAAGAACTAATTTTGAATGATGAATTTTGCATGACCGCTGACTCAGAACTCCACAGTAACCATGTTCCACATAGAGGCTACACATCCATCAAACATGACTGACTTGTTGGCTTTTCTCACATAAAATATGAATGAAACTATGAGTGATGAGTGCATGCAGTATGTGTGCTGTTCCAGACCTGAAAGACAATAACGAAGGCAAGACGAACAGCAAGAATGGCCCAGAACTCTTTGGACAGTTCATACGGTGTGCTGGACCATGGGGGATCTCTGTAGTCTTTATATCTACGAAAACAAGAAAACATACACATTTATTACGCACAAACTAAATACGCTTCTGCAGCTCAGCTCTTTTTTCCAGAACCCACCAAAGTCCGACCTTACCTGCATTCGTCCACCTTGTAGCCCAGGTGCAGTGCATCTGAAGGGGCTGTGCCGGGCTGGAAGTCGCTAACGTTGAAATATGACAGAGTGTGATTGATGAAGCCGTGCATGGAGCCGTCAGGGCTGTACGTGTACTGGTAGACCAGCCGAGGGATGAAGTCCGAGGTGAAGGCAATGACAAAAGCCTGGTACACAGAAAGGCTCATCAGCTGGGTTATTGTAAACAGGATAACAATAGTCTGACTGTTTCTTCTTATTTATTTTAAAGGTAAAATAAGACTTACGTTAACAATAACTGCCACCTTGCTGAGCCCCCTTAAGAGGTTGTACCAAATACCTGCAGACAGGGAACAGAGCTGACATAGGTGCAAACAGGCTTGTACTGGGTCAGGAAGTACCTTCCACCACTAGATGGCACAAGCTTCTTCTGCACTGGATGGGAGAAAAATCTCACTCCCTTCGGGATGAAAGGCTCTGCTTTCAGCTAATTATTTCTTCTTTAATAACCCTCCAGAGGAGCATTATTCATCTAAAACTTTCAAAATCCAGAGACGTTTTTTAACGTTTCTTTTCATCTCATTTGAAGCAACATACATGAAATAAACTAAATAAAAAGTTCTTTATGAAAACATCCGCTTCACGTTATGTTAACAGTAGGATATTGGAGCAGCAAGCAGGGGCCTGTCAATACAAAACACTGTATTTCCATTAAAACAGGCCGAACTTCACAGAAATGGATATCATTCTTCAATAATTACATTATTTTTAATGAAAAAAAAAATCCTGCCAATATACTCATACAAATATCTCTTCAATAACTTGTTTTGATGTCAACAAAAGAAGTTTTATTTAAAGTCATCAGGGTTACGTTTTATGCATTGGGTGATGGTGCTTTTCACATACCATATCCATGAGAGTGCCTTTATCTTAAGTTGTAATCAAACATCTACTGTATGTGCAAAAATAATCATAATAAAACTTTTAAATGACAGCTTGCTTAGTAGAAACTTTCTCTTCGGGAGTAAGTACCGGTTTGCATTTTTACTCCTTGGATGTAATTCAGGATACAGAGAAGCTGCACACTGAAAGGTTAATCATTTGATTGGTCTGATTTGTATCTTAATCTGATAAATTAACCGCTTTATAATGTAGCTGTTTTCGTTTTGTTTTTGTTGCATTGTTTAATTTCATTTATTCCATTTACTTTTCATTTTATATGCTTTTTATATGGTTGTCTAATTTTGTCTGTGCCTCATCTGTGTTCGTTGCTGAAAATCAGGTCTCTCTTGTAAATGAGTCCTCGAGGCTCAATGAGACCAACCTGTATAAATAAAGGTTGAATGAAAATTAAAGTTCAGGAATCGTACCAATGTCTTTGGCCTTTGCTGCTAGGGGTCTGCGCAGCTCCATGACAAACTTCTTGGCGTCCAGGCGAATTTCGATGATATTATTCAGCAGAGCAAAGAGTGGAGCCAGAGGGAAGGAGGCCACGAAAAGAGTCACCATCCCAAACTGGATGACTGGAGACGAGCAGGACACGAGCAGAGACACAGTTTATGATGCGAGCGTGAATTCAACTCTGTTTTATCCATTAAGAAATGTAAATACACTCAGGATGACTCCACTCTGATCTATTACCACAGTATAGTGCACAAAAAAGCTTAAATGCCACACTTCAATCCATACATTAATTTATTATTTGTCAATGACTGAGCTGCAATAACCACAAATTCAAAACTGCTTTATTCTTCATGCGTCTACATTCATCTGAGCAGACAGAACATAGAGCTAGAGACCAGAGCTGCATCATTTATTGGTAACAAAACCAAAATAAAGTCTATTTTAACACAAACTTCAAATATTAGTAATTGTGCTTTGATAATATGGAGTAAAATATTTAGCTGCCATTTATTTACGTTTCCAGCAGAGAGAGCAGCATTAGATTACACCTGGAGCGTTTTTATTTCATTTATTATCTGCAGAAAGAATGTGAGAACGTTTAAAGATTGTAGTTTATAAAACAGAACCTGGCGGTCGTTAAAGACTGCTGTAGCTTCATTATATGTTATGTTGTTTATTTGTCATATGCAGGTTAATGCAGGGTCAGCAATGAAATGTTCAGGATGAGAAGAACAAACAAAAAACAAGAAATACTAAAGCATGCAATAAGCGTACAAAATAAAGTACCCACAAGTGATATATTACCATCAGTGCTATCATAACTTGTGCTAATTAAAACAACTCTGTTTCCAAAATCTATTTTCTGTCTTTGTTCTGCTTGAAAAAGCATAATTGGATGTTTGAAGGGATGACTACTCAAAAGCACATCTGTTAGGAGAAACCCCGATCTGGGTTGTTTTTCTGTTTGTTAAATAAATATCTTTATTAGAATCAGTAGTTTTAAATTGATTTTTTTTAAAATCCAGAGTACAATTATTTTGATACTGGGTGGGAAGTATTATATTTCCTTAAACCTCTTATTGGGCAGCTGTGGCCGAGTGGTCAGAGCAGCTGTCCTCCATGGCGAGAGTTGGGGGTTTGAGTCCACCAGCAGTCACATGCTGAAGTGTCCCTGGGCAAGACACTGAACCCCTCACTGCCTCTGATGTGTGTCCCATCAGTGTATGAATGTGATAAAGCACTGATTAGTCTTTGTATAGATCTAGTAGAGTGCAGTATGAATGGGTAAATAAGGACAAAACATAACCAATGTCTTCTTGATTTATTTATTTATTACCACCCATTTACATCATAGTGTGTGTGACTGGGTGAAGATCTTGTTTTACATTTTCTTTCTTGTTTCACGTTGGTATCCGTGGGCCTTGAAACAAACACTGTATCAGAGGTGATTCTAGAATCTGATCTTTAGGGGTGCTCAGCCCCCAGTGCTGACAATGGCTCTTGGCTTGAACATTTATGGTGACTATTGGTGTCAGAAGCATTTGGAATGTGTGTGTGTGTGTGTGTGTGTGTGTGTGTGTGTGTGTGGGGGGGGGGGTCCTCCCCAATAAAATTTTGAATAAAGTAGAAGCCATTTCCTGCATTCTGGTGTATTTTAAAGGGTTGTTTAACATCTATGTTAACCTCCATAAGTACACACTTGATTCAATAACTAGAGCAACTAGAAGTAACCTGACTAACAGCTCTCCTTGTGTGAATACAACACGTTCGACTTCTCTCACACATCCTAAACCCACCCAACTAACTTTGTCCTTTCTGGCCACAGTTTCTTCAGTTTCTTTCTATTCTAAGAAACTAAGTGTAGCCTAAGCTAACTTTTACATTTTTATAGAGTCCGTTTATGTTTTGAAATGTAATAAAGTGTATTACATCCTCTAAACACTCAGGGTAATGTTGTCTGAACTGCATGTTCCCCAATGACAATGTTTAACCATTTTTTGCTGATGATTTTTCATGAAATCCCTCTCGACTGTAAAGCGTTGCTGCAAAGCCTCGACAAAGTTGTTGAAGGAAAATGGGGTGGAGCTCCTGCAGGTAAGGGGCATTTCACTTTGGGACAAATTGAGATCGCCGATTTATCAGTTGCTGACAAGCCTGCTGGATTGATTGACAGGTGGCATTGAAAATCTGACTTGTGCAAAAAACCCCCCCCCAAAAATCATAGATTTTACTGGCCCATTTAAGAGTGTTATAATTTATTCAAGTTTTATTCCAAATTTATTCAATATTTTCTAAGGTTTGAGAACGGAGTTTCCTTACAAAATCCTAATGATGGTTTCTTTATTTTTCAGGGGTGCCGAGTTGAATTTTAGCACCCCCAAAAAGAGGCTAAAATCCTCACTGCACTGTATTTATCAGCTAAAGAACAACATAATCATCTTTGTCCTGGATTGTGTTTTGTGGCACTGGGCAGGCAGGATATCAGTAACATCTGTCTGCTCTGACATTCTTAATAAACAAATATCGATCAGTGTAGCCCCGAAGTCATTCTGTATGTAAAGTACAAACAGGCTGGCTGAGGTTCTTCCTATGACTGAAACAACACCAGAGGTATTCAGTCAATATTTATTACTTTAAAAGCTCAAGTAATCAATAAACATACATATCTCTCCAGTTCTGGAGTGTAAACCACTCTGATGCTCATATAGTTGAATCAAACACTTAGTGGCACTTAAAGTAAGAGAGCAACTTCAGAGGAATTTACTTCTTACTGTAGCTCTGCTCAGGAGTGAAGTCCAAGCTGACTGTAGGACAGTCCAGCTCGTTTTAATTGCTTAATTCACATAATTAAAATTGATTAAATTAAAAATGGATATGCAACCCCACATTAAAGCTGGACATTAATGTGATAATATGGTTTCAGTGCTTGTTAAATCATATTTCCATCAGGTTGTACCCCCACTTTGTGTTAGTGGTTTCTATTTCATACACAGCTGTTGCACTTTCACTGGTGTGCAACAGTTACCATTTTGCACCCATGCATTTACCACTATATCTCCCCACCTGTCTGCACAGAATCCACCAGGTTATAGAAAATGGAGTGGATGGACATGGTTTGATGTGAAATGATTTGTGTCAGAACATTTTGCTCATCTTTGCTGAGAGCTGAGTAAAAACCCATCCTCCTTACCAGCTTAACTTTGCTGAATAAAACAGCACAGCTCAGCTGCTGCAGCAGAAGGAGAAACGTCTCCAACCACACCTCTAACTTAAAAACTGGTGTCTGATACAGCCTGCCTCTCTCCAGTTGACTACCAGAGATAAATATCATCTCCTGTTGTGATCTTGAGCGGTGTTAAAGGGAAAAGTATAAATGTACAGTCAGTGCAGAAAACAGGTGTACAGGAGCACAGCATGGACTACTTGTGTTTTCAGTCAAACTCAACAGCCGTATTGTTGTAGAAACGTAATGCTTCAGTAGAAATAAAAATGCATTTTCCTTTTTCGTCTTTAGATTCAGGGCTATTCAGAAACTAGAGCTACAGACTTAAAGTCCCAGATCTAACAATGTTGACACTACTACCACGGATAATAATAAATTTGCTCATGTGCATTTCAAAGGGTACTCCATTAGATTAAATCCTAAATGTACGGACAGCTGCAGAAGTGGGCCAAGACAAAAGACTTGGAAGATATTCTTTTGTACCCACATAAGTACAAGTATGTAGTGACCAACACTGCAAAGTATAAGAAAGTGGAAGTATAAATTGACCTGGGGGGCCATGATATCTTACAGCATCGTGATAAAAATGATAGGAAATAAGAAAATTGAACACTTTGTAGATCGCTGTGCTCCCAAACATCAAGTCATGTTTTCGTAACTTTTATTTATTTTTTTCTATCTTCTGTTTTTAATGCAAACTCGCCTACTGCTTTGCAGGACTTTCTAGAAAAAGTTTTGGACTCCTTCTCTTTGGCAGCTGTCTTGTTGGGGCCCAGTTTCCTGCCAGTCAGTTGCACCTTAATCCCATTTACAAGAACTCACTTTTAACAACAAACTCAGGAGGATTTTTAAACTAGTGTAGATATACATTCAGGGTGATTTAATATTTATTTAAACTGATCTGAAACCGATGTCTAATTAACTGCAAACTATATATTTTAAAACAAAAGTCCCAGAAAGCCATGACGTAAAGTTATTACCAGAGGTTGTTGTGCACAACTCCATGCACAGAAACCTCCAAATAGAATGTGATTTGTGGACGGCAACAGTCAAGTCTGATAAATGTCAGACTTTTTTAATGCATCTGCACTTGAACTTGTTCATGACTAACACCAATTAAAGACGTGATGAAATATTTTTTTTTAACAACACTTGAGGAAACTTAACCTAACTCAAAGCAGAACCACAGCAGGCAGTTGATTTAAATGTTTTTAGCAGAGGACAGTTCATCAGAACTAAAGGAAATCTGTACAAAATCAAGCAAAGGTCCAACACAGAGCAGAAGATACAACTACCAGAGGCTCCACAAAGAGGTGCACAACCTTTAGGTTAGCAATTTTCCATTTTAAAAAGCCTCTTTTAAATAATCTCTGAACACACACAAAAAAAATCAGCACACTCAAAAGAAATGATGACGAGGTCTGAGGTGGAAAATACTTTTGAATGCATCAAAGTGCCATCTATCACTGTATTCACAATGGCAATAAAAGACAGTTGGACTGTGAAAAGTAACAAAACGATAAAATCAAGACTCACTCATTTCCATGTACTCGGGGTTGATGCCAACAAACGGACCCAGGAAGTGATCTTTCTCGTAGCGTTTTAAGGTTTTCAGATCCTCCTCTTGCAGCGAGGTCACCTCAGACTTCCTCTGACGGAGAAGCTTCTTTAACTTCCTGCAACAAAACAAGAAGCATTCAGCATCATTCTAAAAGCCACCAGCGCTCCTTTATAGAGTATTATTTAATCATATGGATAAGGAAAATTAAACAGATGTTTTTGTTGGAAAAATATTTCCATTTTATATATATATATA